AAAATCAAGATTTTTCTTACCTTCCGGCTTTTTCAACGGCTTCACGAAGGTTTGCCACTTTGGATAGATGCCATCCGCTAGATAATAGCCATAGTTGTACGTACGTCCATTTGCTACAAACTGCACAGGTGGCAACTCACCATTTGCAATCTTATTCATCAGTGGTGACCAGTTGACAACATTGATGTCATTCAAAGATCCAGGCATTCCAAAGAATGCGTGCCAAATCCAAGTCTCCTGATCGACCACCGCTTCAAGGATTATAGTGGAACCCTTTTTTTGGCCGTGAAACTGCCCATGCCATGCCTTTGGACAATTCTTCTAACTTCAATGCATGCAATCTATTGAGCCAAGCATGCCAGGAAAGCCGCACGCTTTGTTCATCGCCAATAGCCTTGCGGCGTCTTCAGCAGTGGGAGATCTCAAATACTCCTTGCCAAACACTTGCACAATTCCCACTGCAAAGCGCTTGACATACATGATGGCTTGGCTCTCACCCATAGCCAAGTGATCATCAACTAGATCAGCCGGGATACCGTATGCTAACATACGCAAAGCGGCTGTCACCTTCAGAAAGGTGCTATGCCCGAGCTCTCCGGCGACATTCCTCCTTTGCTGGAAAAACCGGTCATGGCTCGCTAGTTTCTCTGCAATGCGCCTGAACAAGTCGGTGCTTATCCTAAACCGGCGACGAAAGTACGATTCCGGGTATGTGGGATTCTCCACGAAATAGTTCTTCATCAATCTGTTATGGGCATCAATCCTATCTCTCCAAATTTTCTCCCGACCCATAACCGAACCACCGTGCTTTGGTTTTTTATTGATATGCATAGCTAGGATCGTTGCAAGATCCTCCTCCTCTTCCATATCAAATTCTTCTTCGGAAGAATCATACGACGAACTCATCTACAATGTTCAATACTATACTATAAAACTACAATTCAAAACGTGCACCAAATTCATGAAGTTTGAGCAATACATACCTTGTAGGCGTTTTGCCAAACACCTGCGGGCGCGGCGCGGCAGCGAGCGCTCGGGCGCTGTTCCTCGGACGACGGAGGCGCGCGTGCGCCGGCGGGACTAGGAGAGGATGGGGCGGAAGCGCGGCGGCGCGGGGATAGGCCGGGGAAGCGCCTGAACGGTCGCCGGGGGGCGTGGGTGGCGGCGGCGGCGCGGCCGGATGGGGGTGGAAGTGGGAGAGGAAGTGCGGGCGCGAGCGCTCGAGTGTGCCGCGTGCTGTAGCGGGCGCCCGAAATACACCGCGAGGGACAATGTTTCCGACAGCGCGCCCAACTTGTTATAGCGCGCGCGCCGTTTTTGCGCGCCCGCTGGAGCGACCCGCCGCGTTGCGCGCGCGATAAAACTGACTAATTTGCGGCGCGGCGCTAGTTTAGCGCGGCTGTTGGAGATGCTCTTAGATCCTTTTAATCTACGTCTGTCTTCACCAGAGTTGGTTGTTGTTCTAGTCCTTCGGGGAATTAGAATGATGATTTTCTGTCTGTCTAGTACAACAAAGTTTTGTTTGACTTCAATGAGAGTGGGTCAAAGACGACATCGCGTCACTGCAGTATTTGTAGTCATCGCTAGGTGGTTTATAGACATGTTTTTTTTTTACTTTTGATGTTCTTTGTACTGCCATGAATTTGATGATTAGAACAAAAATGTTTCCCTACAAAATCACTCATTCCCCGCAAAAGAAAGTACATTTGTATAGGAGTACGGCGGTTGGCAAAATTATGATATTTGTTCGTCCAAGCAACTCAAAATATACTCGCGAGAATTAGAATATTTTCTCTTCGGAAACCTTGTATTCCACGAGAGGGCTCCAAAAAATATCTGTAAACGGACTAACTAATGAAGCCTAAGGTGCAACAATAATCGATCTATCTTTGTTCTTCCGCCACTATATTTGTAGCTCACACACATGCGCATAAGAACGAGACACTAGAACCGTGGGCTCTATTTTGTTGCGAGGGAAAAGCCACTGCCTCTGTGGTCTCATCTGATAGCACGACCAAAACAAAAACGTTTTGTGTCCACATCTACCATTGTTGGAACGTACGCTCAAGTAAAATAATAACGCATTCGCAAAAGAAGGTAAAATAATACAGTTTTGCTAGAACTCATTTAGATGAGATATAATTTGGTCTTATTCACGTTTTATAGCCATTGGATGTGATGCTATAAGATGCGTGTGTGCTGACGTGGGTTGTATTTGTTCTTGTTTTCAAAATGAATGAGACCAAATTATATCTCATCTAGATGAGTTTTAGGTACTCCCAAAATAATAACTCAACCGTAGCTACAAGCCTACAACACTACTCCAACGTCACTCGCGCTTCAGTTCGTAAGGAGCAGGAACACAGCGTTCGCATGCATGCGTGGCACCCACGCAGTTCACCGATGCCGTCGCCATCATGGTCTGCCTGCGGCGAGCTTTTGCTGATTTTATTTAGGAGGTTGCCGTAACCTGGAATGGATTCTCCCGGCATGTGCGCCGGCATCGGGTGGACGTAAAGAGCAAATATCACAAGCCGAGACGACGGCTGATTCGCTTGCCGAGCCCGAAACGTGTCCCGTCTCGTGGAGGCCATGTTCGGATTTAGTGCAAGATTATGCTTCTTCTCTGCGCAACTTCGCTGTCAGTTTGGGAGTTTGTTTGATGCCTCGCAGGATTGCGGAATAATGCACACAGGTTACGCCGTTACAGCGAGGACACGGAGAGCTCGGTCGGGGCCTGTTTGGAGGCATCATTCGAGGTCCATGCATTTATATTTGATGAAGCGTTTTTTTCTTTCTTTTTTGCGAAGTTATGTTTGAAGCGGTAGGAAGGTTTTGAGAAAGAAATCCACACGCTACCGATGCCTTAGCTAGTTTGGTCCTGCAAATACGCGGTCGCTTGAGATTTTTGTTACAACTTTGGCACAAGAAAAGGGTGACTGTAATTTTATTATTATTATTATTATTATTGTCACAGTTTGTAGGTTGTATATGAGTTAATTTATTTTCCGACATCATTGATTATATAGTCAAACACTATGAAAATTGCCACATGTGACATTTTCTCTTTCCTCATCCACAAGAAAAAAAAATCCCAAGCTTTCCTCCTCCTTCAGTCGGCGCCGACCCATTCGTGTTCCTTTTAAGCAGCGATGTCCTTTAGTACGAATGATATCTCTCACGTTGTATCCCCGTTAGGATGGTGCGTCCAGTATCATTGAAGAGCGTGTGGAGGCGCATCTTTGTCAGATCTCGCGGGATTTTATCGGTGTTGGTATTTGGTGGATCTGTTTGAATCTGGTCTTCATTCATCTCTGTTTGGGTGTTTACAAGTTTGATCCTTTCGATCTACAACTTTCTTCATCTGCTATCGTTGCTGCTATGATGCACTGGTCCTATGGGGTCTTATCATGACGACTTCTTGACAATCTACTACAAGATTTGCCTGAATCCCGCGAGGGAGGGGCGACGACGACGCGTCTTCTGCTTGCTCTAGTGTTTCTAGTCATCGGTAGGTGATCCACAGAGCTGGTTGTATTTTTTATTATCTTTGGTGTTCTTTGCACTGCCAGGATTGAAGGTGAATAGATTCAAAGTTTCTAAAAAATATCTATAAAAATACTTTGTCCCCTCTAGGAACCCTAGATTGCTGCCACCGCTCCGCCCGTTCCCCGCCCGCAAGGTCCCGACGTCCTCCTGTTGCTGCTCCGTCGATGGGAGAAGGTAGGGACACCAAAATGCGTTGCACCGCTATAGTTAGGCTTGTCAGGGTAGGATTTCGTTCACTAGCTCCGACAATGTGATGAGAATGGCAACGCTGTGCATATTAAGAATAATGTTTCCCTAACTTTCTGATCTATCTTGTTAGCGGCGATCTTATCAACATAGTAGAGGAGGGCATGCCATCATGTAGTCAATATTCATCTGGATTTTTTGCATCGAATATTCTTCTGGATTGGTGGACATGGTTTGTGCTATTGGTGAAATAGACAAAGACGCCTCATGTCTTGGTCCTCTGGCTGCTTCTCTGACC